CGTAACAAAGGCAAAGAAGGAACGCGTCCGGAGGCTAGTCGAGTACGAAGAAAGAAAGCATGCGATTTTTCTCCCCATTCACGCCAACCTCACGCCGTGAGAGCTGGCGTGAATGAGATATAACGCAGCCGAAGGAAGCAAGATGCGGGAAGGGATCTAAATCCCATTCACGCCGGCGTCACGGCGTGTGAATGGGAATTCGAAATAAATAGATGGCGGAGGCAGATTTGAAGGGGAGCTCTACACATTTTCACATTTGCACTTTTCAGAATTTAGAGAGAGAATAATTATAGATTTTAGGGGTCTCAATTGCTTTGAAGAATTGTTGAAAAGTCTACATCAAATACCAAGTTTTGGAGCTAGAATTGGGAAGCTATTGGGTAACGATTTCGATTCTTCGGATTATTGTTGTTTTATGCTTAATAGAATTGATTATTATTCTATGTTTTGCATTGTTAGATCCATGCTTGTTTTGATGCGTAGCTAAACGTATGTGAGGTTTGGGGGTGTGTGAGTTGCGATGGCTAGTTAGGATTTCAAATGTCTGGGATTTATGATTTGTATTTGCTTAATTGAACTCTTGTTGTTGGGTGGTTTTGTATGGCCTCTTGTGCGTTGATGGCCACATGGTCCAAGAGGGTTTGAGAGAGGTTGGTTGGCGAGAGATCATGACCAACCGGAGTATTTGCCATCCACTTTCCCCGCCCTCAGATCCGAGAGGATAAGGCCCGGGAAGGACTGTAGGCTAGGTGTTCGATAAAATTCCTAGGACAAGGAATTGTTGCCTAGAGGGTTAGGTGTAACGCCACGACTAAGCGTAGGTCCTTGTGAGTTGAGAAAATCCACTTCATTAAATCCCGCTACCCTAAACTAACACCATTGCACCACAAGCATACCCACAAACCTCCATATATCCTTTGACTATCACAATTTTCTTTAAGTTTTTCTAGCATTCACCTTATTATGCAAATCCATTACCAAAACCTTACTTCGAATTGTTCGGTAGGAATCTCTTGTCTAAGCATCTAGGTAGTCAACCCACAAATCTTCACGATCTCCAAGTTGTTATCCTTAAGCGAACAATACTCGGGGTGGTTCTAACTCCCCGTTTTACCGTCAATCCGTTTTATGATTCTTATTTCCTCAGTCTACGACCACACAATTTTGGACATGCTTGATCTGAAACTGCACTTATTGAGAAGTGAAAAAGCGAGTGTTGTCATGCGTAATAAAAGGCAACAGTGTGCATTGACGTCCAAAGTTGTGTGGGGCTGGAAAATGGAAAATTGCATTTGATGATATACTTGCACACATTACGTATAAATAATTAAGTGCGTTGTGGTTTTGGTTAATAGGCGCAAATGAAACTGAAGGTGGACTACAGGAATGTATCATGGACATATCCCCAGATGGAACCGAATACGGGCACCTAACAAGCGATGAGAAAAATACACCTTTTGTTGGGCAACGATTTGAATATGTAGAACAAGGAATTTAATTCTACAGGACATATGCTACCGTGGTCAGCTTTGAAGTTAGAAACAACACGATGAGGAAATATAGAGATGGGGATGTTGGGATTAAATACATGGTATGCTCACGTGAAGGTTACAAGGCAAGTAGAAAGGATAACAACAGCAACACCGATTTAGGAAACAACACAGAAACCACGTGAAGGAGGCGAGTGTTGAATAGGGTAGGTTATAAGGCTCGTATGGTGATGACAAGGTGGGCTAAAGGTGGGTATCAAGTCCATGCAGTGGAGCTACGACACACACACTGCCTATATTCAGACGTCTCAAGGCCTTCCTTTAAAATCAACAAGAAGCCTGACATTGGACATAAAACATTTATGGCTAACTGTGCAAGGGAAAATATAGGTCCAAACAAAAGCTTTCAGACTGTACAAGGAGATGGTTGGATGTTTTACTGATATAGGGACAACATGCATTGACTTTTCCAATTTCCGAAGGGACCTATTGGCATATATTTTAGGAGCCAATTGATGTTTGTTAGTATACGTGGGATAGAATTAAGTGCGTGTAAGTGTAAACGAAGGTTATGGATCCCCCGAGTGTCGAACTCAAGGATGGCCGTTCGGAGCAAGCAAAGTGCAAGACAACCAATTGTCACAATGTGTCAACAAGGCAAGTCAGGTGCAAGGTGTGAATATGGGGAGATTTGGGAAATGAGAAACATAAGAAAGTGAAGGAAAAATAAAAGAAACAAACAAGATCAAGTAAAACGAGGATTTGGATGGAAAAGATTTGGGGATCACGCTTTCACCGATTTAACGATAGACAAAAACGTTATGCTAAGGGTGGGCTAGGCTACGGGAGAACCAAGGCACCTAATACTAAGCCGCGTAGGACTTAGTCTCTCAATCTCTACGTCGGGTGAGGCATTCTATCACACGGTTGGTGGGCGGTCCACCGTCTCCTCCCCGAACTACCGAAGATTGTAAGGGTAAGACTAAGGAGAAGGGCAATCTCTTGCTCCTTTCCCACTCTCACACCCTCCTCTCCAGTGGAGTTCTCAATGGAGAGAGGTCAAAATACACACCTCTACAGCATAGACATTCAAGTCATTCATACATCAAATCTCATCATTCATCCATTCAAAGCATACATGCACAATCTAAACCAATGTCAATCCAAATCCTAGAATTCTAGCAATTCATCATCATCAAAGAATCACAAACACAAATTAGATATGAAATTATGAAGTATGAGAAGAAATGTTATCCAAGTCTTCAATGTTTAGTGTTGTAATCCATGAAGCTACGTAGAACAATGAATGCTAGAGATGAAATGGAAATCTAATCTAATGAAAGGAAGAATTCTCTAAAACTAACGTAAATCTAATCTAAAGGAGCTGAAAATTAAAGTGTCCAAAAGAAGGTAAAAGAGATGTCTACTAATAATCCCTTTACAAGAACTTAAATAGACTGAAAATCTAAAATTTCTGCGCTGGCTTCACAACGAATTCCGCAACGCATCCACAACGTGCGTTGTGGAATTCGTTGTACTTTCTGTTTCCCGACAATGCATTTCAAAACGCATGTTGTGCGTTGCATTGTACTTTTTGTTGGGAATTTGCCTTCCTTGCCTTCACCAAAGTTATAGCCCTTGAAGTTGTCTTTCCATGACCACTTGAATCACCTTATCTGGATACTCCTGGCTCGGGATATGCTCCGATTACTGAACTGTCGCAGGAATACCCTGTAAATGACAATGTTCTGTTATTTTCTACCAAGGTAAACATAATTAGTCCTCAATCCTAACTTCTATCAAATTAAGCTAATCTAAGCATGAATTAGGCTTAAAGTACTCTAATTGTAGCACAAAATGCCTCTTAAATACCTTACAAAACATAGCATCTTTGGCACCTATCACCCATGCACAAAGTAGAAGATATGGTAAAAAATAATAATAATAATAATAATAATAATAATAATAATAAATTAAAAAAAAAAAGATTAATCCATACGTCTACTTTAATTTCGACCTTGATGAAGACGCACAACTATGCATGATATTTTGGGTAGACACTATTGTAAGGAAAAATTTGACATGCTTTGGAATTGCGATGTCCTTTGATGAGACATACAGAACAAACAGGTGCGTGTCTTTGTATTGAAATGAGTAGTGTACAAACATTTCATATATGTCTGCGCGTAAGCGAGTGTGAGAATATAAACGCATAGTATATGGACATAATATTCACTAAATCTTTGACTAGCAACAATGGGAATTATAGCTAAAGATGTGTGCTTATTAGTTAGTTATTGTAAGCCAACACCACATCACCTACCTGTATTTGTTGGCAAAAATAATTGTATGCAATGTATTATAAATGTTTGTGCACTAACAATTACATACTGGTTACAATGCGATAGATACGCACACTATATTAATTTTAATGTCTGGCTTTAAATTATTTTTAAACAAATGACGTGACTGTTGTTTTTGCCGCATATGACTGTGTGCATTCGAGTGCATATATATGTGCACTAATATGTCCACACTGGTTATAATGCTGATACAACCTAGTTTTTGTTCCCTTCACGGGGGTGGATAACCATAAGAAATGCATAACATTTGGTGTATACCTTATTGCAAAAGAAGATATGGAGTTCTATGATTGGTTACTGGACAGATTCAAAATCGCAATGGGGTATTCACCCAAGATGTACCATACACAATTAAGGTGCAGCAATAAAGGTGGCTATTCCATGAACTCTCCCAACAACAAGACACTGATTCTGTATGTGGCATGTTATGACAAAAGTGGGGGAAAAGGTTAGTAATGACTTGGCCAAAAATGAGGAATTCGGAAAGGCACTGAACAATACTGTATGGGATGAGACATTGGGCATTGATGAATTTGAGAGAAAATGGAAAACTATAATGCAAGAGTATAACCTTGCAGACCACAAGTGGTTTAATTTGGTCAACTCAACGAGGCATTGGGCATTGATGAATTTGAGAGAAAATGAGAAACTGTAATACAAGAGTATAACCTTGCACGCACATGCGGTTCGCTTGTTTATGCTTATGCGTGTGAGTGCTATGTCCCGGCATAGCTATGCTCACCGGCAGAGTTTATAAAGAGGCAACATACTATGTTTATTGGCAGAGCTTTATAAATGGGTAATATACTATGAGGTAGTAATTGGCACATTTTTAGCATTGCCTCTCTCATTATACTATTATATATGCCAACTCAATTGTAGATAGAGCATGTTATTTATAACATCACAACACCTCAAATATTATTTAAACTTTTATGGTAGTACATCTAAAATTTTAATCACCAATACTATATAAGTTTTCAACATTCTTCCTCCATTTATATAGTAAAAAATTAATACTGCAACAAGATAAAATTCCAAAACAACACATGCATAAATGAAAGTACATGTCTAAAAGATTGAACAATATTCACTTAGTGATATATACTTTACATTAAATGAACTGTTTTGCTGGACATGCCTGAGATCAAGCAATCGATTTGAAGTAATGAAGATCTGAAACAATAATAACTGTTACTATATAAATTTCCAACACAGTATACTCCTCTAAAGGTACAGGGATATCGGAAGCATTCAAACCTAAGAGTTGCAAAGATTCATCAAACCCTAACATGTTGCCCTTGTACTTCTCGTGTGCTCCAAGTTTACTCAACAATTGAACTTCTGTAATTGTTACGATAATTATGCTTGAACCAAACCAACCTCGTTGTCCTTCTAATGATTCTAGTTGATTTCTCTGGTCTATGTCATCTAGAACAATATGAACCTTTTTTGATGGCAGTATTCCTTTTATTAAAGTTTTTCCTCTACCAACATTATTTATTTCATGTATTTTTCTCTCGAGCATTTCGCAAACAATCTTCTCTTGTAAACGAGTTAAATCTTCGTGTCGTCCCCTAGAAACTTCAGATCCAATCTTTGTGATAAAACAACTACCTTCAAACCTCTGAAAACTCCTGTTATATATGGCTTTAGCAAGGGTTTTTTTTCCAACACCACCCATACCGAAAATTTCAATCATCTTCATATCGTCATTTGTTTGACTTTGCAATAAGTTATCTATATCTTTTACACGAGAATCAATTCCAACAGGATACTTCACAACATTCATGTATACATGGTTCAATTCCTTTAGTACCCATTCTGTAATTTTTTTGATGAACTCTGACTCATACCTGATAACAGTTAAATTTGTTATATAAATGTCAATCTAAATCGAAAATTTTAGAAAGAAAACACAAGATTAAGAATCCAAATTGAACACATGATATGAAACACTAGGTCAATTTAATTAACATATATTAGGGTTCAACTAATAAGAATTTGTACTCATTTCACTTCTTGTTGTTGGGAAGCATTCATATTCTTACTACATAGATATTACATAGAATAATAGATTATTTATAATCGTTTGTTACAATGTTTCTATTAAATCTAATATCAGTTCACAATTTTTTCCATGCTTTCAAGTGCTTTACAGTAATGAGAACCATATGTGCATATAGAGGTGTTTGGTAAATGGTAGATAGTTGATTAAATTAGTTGACAGCTGATTGGGTTAAATGATTTCACCAGCTGATAGTATTATTTGATTGTAAAAAGGTGTTTGCTAAATTATTTAATTACTCTTAACTTATAGCATGTAAAATAACCTATAAAGACATTCATAATAATGACAACAACAATAACAACAACAACAATAATAATAATAATAACAATAACAACAACAACAACAACAACAACAACAATAATAATAATAATAATAATAATAATAATAATAATAATAATAATAATAATGGAAAATATAATCTGTATATTCAATGAATAACGAGCAAAGAGATACAGCCTTATATAAAGGAGTTCAACACCAAAATAGGTGAAACAGATAGAAAGAACTGAATAATCTAACAGAACTATAACAAACCAATAATAATAATAATAATAATAATAATAATAATAATAATAATAATAATAATAATAATAATAATAATATATAGCTGGTCCAATACTCCCCCTCAAGCTGGCGGGGTGCAAGGGACGACGCCAAGCTTGCGACGGAGCTTGGTGAAGCGAACAGCAGAAAGTGGCTTGGTAAAGATATCAGCTAACTGATCGTGAGTGGACACAAAGTTGACCTTCAGGGCGCCGGTGGTGACTTTGTCTCGGACAAAATGGTAGTCTACCTCAACGTGTTTGGTCCTAGCTTGGAAGACTGGATTAGAGCACAAATATGTAGCCCCGAGGTTGTCACACCACAAAACAGGAACAGCTGTTGGCAGCAGGCCTAGGTCCCGGAGTAGAAACTGAATCCAAGTGACCTCCGCCGCGACATCTGCTAAGGCCTTGTACTCTGCTTCAGTGGAGGAACGGGCCACGGTGCGCTATTTCCTCGAAAACCAAGACAGAAGATTTGGGCCCAAGAAGACAGCGTACCCACCGGTGGACTTCCTATCAACAGAGCACCCAGCCCAGACGGAGTTGGAGAAAGCATGCAGAACCGGAGCAGTGGATGGTGTGATACGGAGGCCAATGTCCAACGATCCTTTGACGTACCGAAGTAAGCGCTTGAGGGCGGCCCAGTTGCCCTGTGTCGGGGTATGCATGAACTGACAGAGCCTGTTTACCGAATAAGCTAAGTCAGGTTGGGTGATCAGAAGATACAATAATGACCCTACTAGTTGACAGTAGGGAGTCGGGTCATCCAGGACATCTGAGTCGGTCTGAGCGACCTGTGTGGATGCAGAAATGGGTGTGGCCAATGGTTTGCACGATTCCATACCCGCCTTACGAAGTAGTTGGGTCATGTACCGTTTTTTAGAGAGAACCATAGAGTCAGCCACATCAACGGCCTCAATGCCTAAAAAGAACCTGGGTTTGCCGAAATCCCAGATACGGAAAACAGTAGAAAGCTGGGCTAGAACCGTCTGAATCACGGCTGAGTCATTGCCTATGAGCAGTATATCATCTACGTATACAAGCAGATAGACACGTATGGTTTGTGATTCATAAATAAATAATGAGACGTCGGTCTTGGAGGACCTGAATCTAATTCGGACCAAGAAGTCATGAAGGCAAGTGAACCAAGCCCGAGGGGCCTGTTTAAGGCCATATAACAATCGTTGCAACTTGCAAACATAATCCGGACAGTTCGGGTTGGCATAACCTGGGGGTTGCCGCATGTAAATGTCCCCACTGACACGCCCATTTAAAAAGGCATTATGTACGTCCAGTTGGTGCATGATCAAATTGTTAGAAACGGCGTAGGCAAATAGAAGCCAAACCATCATGAGCTTGACTACCGGACTGTATGTGTCAAGATAGTCTTGCCCGGGCATCTGGTTGAACCCCTTGGCAACCAAGCGAGCTTTATAGCGCTCAATAGCACCATCAGACTTCCTTTTGATACGGTAGACCCACTTGCAGCCAATGACATTCATGTTAGGGCGTGGTGGTACTAGGCGCCAAGTTTGATTTTGTAACAGTGCGTTAAACTCAGCATTCATGGCATCGCGCCACTGTGGTAGGCGAATAGCCTGTGAGTGGCACGTGGGCTCATCATCATCAACAGAAGCAATTAACGCTGTGGGCCGCTGACGGCGCCGGCGTGTCGTAGTCGTTGTGGATGTCGACGGTTGGTAAGAGGAAGACACCGGTGCAGCCGTAGAGGAAGTGGACAACACATCACCTCGATTTTGGCCACTCGAGGGTGGACTCACCGTGGTGGACTCTACCTGTGCGCCACTCGTCCGAATTTGAGCACACCCCCACGGTTGACTAGGCGTCGGGGTTGCTGCAATTGTGGTCCTCAGCTGAGAGAACGGAAACACCATTTCATTGAAGCGGACATGCCGGGAAATGTAAACACGCCCAGATTGTATATCCAGACACCTGTAGCCATATAAAGATTCAGGGTATCCAAGGAACACATAAGACTTGGAGCGATAGTCCATCTTGTGCGTGTTGTACGGACGTAAATAATCGGGATATTGTTGATATAGTTGATAAAACGGACTCGTGCCATTTGACACAAAAGACGGAAGGCGGTTAATTAGGTGAACCGCCGCCTCAAAGGCGTAGAACCAAAATTTTTTGGGAACTTGACCGTGAGCTATCAAGGCAAGGCCTGTTTCCACAACATGACGGTTCATGCGCTCTACACGGCCATTTTGCTCGTGTGTGTGAGGGCAGGATTTCTTGTGTTGGATTCCTGCGGCTGCAAAAACCGAACTTAACTTAATGTACTTACCGCCCACATCCGATTGGATACATTTAATCGAACGGGAGAATTGTTTCTCAACTAGTGACCGGAACCTAGTGAATATATGATAAATATCTGACTTGAGGCGCATGATATAAATCCACATGAACCTCGAGAAGTCATCTACGAAAAGCACGAAATATTTATGACCATCAACTGTGGGTACAGAAGATGGTCCCCAAATGTCAGAAAAAATTAAATCAAGAACAGACTGACTTGAATATGAAATCCGTGACAACAGGAAGCGCGTAGACTTGCCCATCTGACACGGTGTACATAAATTATTTAATGACCTACAAGAACCAACTACTAAACAGGCAGGCAAAACCTGCCTCAGAACTTGAGAATGCGGGTGACCAAGACATTCGTGCCAGGTCTTCGGCAACTGGACTCGATAGATTTAATGTGTACATCCCGCCCGTGCTAGGACCTTTAAGTAAAATCTGCTGAGTAGTACAGTCCTTCACAACAAAATAACGCGGGTGAAACTCAAAATACACATCATTATCCTGTGTAAATTTTTGGACAGAAAGTAAGGATGCACGTAATTCAGGCACATGTAACACGTGCTTTAGAAACAGAGACCGAGACGAGGAATTTAACGAAACTGAACCTGTATTCTGAATTGTCAGACCCGTGCCATCCCCCACCTGCAACGACTCACCTCCAGTGTATTGTTCTACCCCAGTCAGGTCATCAACGTTTAGTGTGGCGTGAGTATTCGCACCTGTGTCCGGCAACCAGACGTTAGAGAAGGGAGCCGAAGAGTGATCGTTGGGCGGTGGTGTGTACGCCATATAGGCTTGAGGTCGGACCCCGCCATGCGCATGGGGTCGACATTGGCTTCCGGCATCCTCAAATCGCCGGTAACACGGGAGAGCAGTGTGGCCGGGTATGTCGCAGATTTGGCAGCGAATACCACCCCGCCCACGCTGACCTCTACCACGTTGCCCCCTGTGATTCCGTCCACAACCGCGACCGCCGCCGTGTGCGTTCCTGGGGATCGACGGCGCCTGGTGCGCGAGTAAGGCCGACGGTGGTTGAGCAGGTGGTGCGGTTTCTTCTGGAAAGAGGTAACTGTGGGTGTTGAGCAGGTCCGCGACCTCCGGGATGGTTAACGGTTCCTGCTTGGTGGTGAGTGAAGCAACCAACGAGCGGAATTCTGGACGTAAACCTCTGAACAAGTGCAGGTTGAGTTCATCGAGGCCTATCGGCCAGCCGGCCTGAGCAAGCTACTCCACCAGAATTTGAACACGGCCAAGGTATGCCGACGTCGAAGAGTCTCCCTGGTGAAGCCCTTGCAGCTGTGCTGAGAGGCTCAGCATACGCGAACGAGACGTAGACCCCAAAGCAGTTTCGATTGCAACCCACACTCCTCTTGCCGTTGACTGACCAATAGCGAGGTAAAGAACTTCATCGGCGAGGGAGGAGAACAACATACTCAGTATGGAATGGTCTTGCTAAACCCAGTCTGTATGAAGTGGATTGATTGTCGGAGTGGCCGGCGGCGTGGCGGACGACGACGTCGGAGAGGGAATGAACTCCAGCAGGCAAGGATTTGTGCCATCCACAAAACCATACAGATTCTGACCTCTTAGGAACGGGATTAGCTGCGCTCTCCAGAACAGGTAGTTCGTGGCTGTCAGCTTTATAGACACATAATGATGTGCTTGTTGTAAGACATTGGGTGTCCGGCGATCGGATTGCATCACAACCTGAGTCGCCGGATTAGAGGAGTCATCGGGACTGGGGTTGGTTTCATTCGTATCGGCCATAGGATCGAAGTGGTCGTCTGATACCAAATGGGAAATATAATCTGTATATTCAATGAATAACGAGCAAAGAGATACAGC